AAGAGACAGTACGGAGAGTTTCCCATCTGCACAACACACATACGCGCGCACACACAAGCACACACACACACAATTTCCCCAGCTGTTAACATCACACTACTGCGGTACGTATGTCAAGGCGAAACAGCCAACACCGCTGTCGGTGTTACAATTAACTAAACTCCGGGTTTTATTCATATTTCACCAGTTTTTCTGTTCATGGGTCTAAGCCAGAATATCACATTGTATATAGCCTATTTTTTGTTTTTGTTTTTTGCAGTTCAGCGGTTTTTGGTGTACTCACACATACGTGCAACAATTGTGACAATTTTAGGGCATTTTCGTCACCTGCTACTTTGAAACATTTATTTTATTGTGAGCCAATTATACTGTTTTGTACCTTTAAAATAATGCACGTGGGGTAGGGTGGTGCTGGGGCCCCTCGCCCGGGCTGCAGACAGGTGCGGCAGGGACCTGCCACACGGTGTTTCTGGTGACGTGAACGACAGTTAAAGGCATGGAAAGAGGGAGCGAGTCCTTGTTCTCGGGGTTTGGTGGGGAAAGAGCTGTCTCCCTCACCCACCCTTCCTCTGGGCTGGCTTTTTGGAATTCAGATTTCCTCTTCTCAACATGACCCCATACCCTAACCCCAAATGAACCACCTTAAAAGTTTCCGACACTGAGAGTGTCCATTTTCGTCAACGGCCGGGATGTGAAAGCACCATTTAGAGAGGACCCACACGTGGATGCCCCACGGGATCCCCACGGCCACCACGGGAGCCAGCCCCCTTCTCTGCGGGCGACGTGCCCCGCCCACAGGGCAGACCGGCGCCACGGTTCTGCCGTGATGGCCAGGACCGCGAGCACAGCTGCCTCCTCCGAGCCGCATCCCAAAACAACCTGACCGTTTCGCCAGTGGCTCCAGGGTGCAGACACACAGCAGGGCTTGCTCAAGGTCACAGCAGAGTCCCCGACCCAGGGGTCAGACCCAGCCCCCTCTGCCCCCGCCGGATAGTGACGCTTTGTGACCTCCCCGGCCCCGAGGGAACACGGGAGAATTACCTGGACGACCTCCTTCACCAGGGTCTTGTCCGTGCCGGTCTTGGCGCGCTGCAGCCCGCTGACGTTCTCGCCGATCCACGTGATGAGGGCGAACTTGGACCTCTTGCTCATGGCGTCCCCGGTGGTGAAGCGCACGAAGGCAAACAGCCGTACGTCATCTGTGGCCAACAGCAAAGGGAGAATGCGGCGCTCGGTTAAAACTCCCCAAACCAGGCCGGGCGCGGTGGCTCACGCCTGTAATCCTAGC